GTCAGTTATATATTTATTGGATATGTTAACATGAGTGCATGTGCACCGCATCATTGTAACCCCTGTATTGTTACCCAGGCATGGCTGAAAGGTCAATATAATAAATATATATAAATGTATAATGTTATGAGATTTAAGCTATTTAGTCTAAACATTTATGTTTTTGTGTTATAATTTGTAGCCATTCTAGAACGAAAAAGGCATAATTTATATTTCCTAATTTCTTTAACGTGGTTAGAAGATCAGTCAAATCGACCAAACCTATACAGAGATTTGTTACTGAAAATAACAGATAAACTATGAAGTTTTTTTCTTAAGAAACATTTGATAACTATCTGGACATTATCTGAAAATTTTCTGATGCACAAAAGTATTTTTAATCTTAAAATGAAAATGTTGGATAGGCAACATGCAAAATAAAAAAAGGCATGGGAAAAACATAGCTTTACAAACCTTAAGACTTAATAAAAAAATTAGATATTTTGTGTATGAAAGCATTGTAATGTTTACTGATAATCTGCCAAATTTTGTTAACATATGTTTACTAATATAAAAGTTATAGCATGAAAAATATAACAAGCACAAAATGGTTATGAAATCGGTCTCAGGTACCGAGCCCGTGCTGAAAAAGAGTTAAAGATTTTGATACAGTTAATGTTAGGGTAGAGAAAATAACAGATAAAATGTGAAGTATTATCAAAAATAAACTTTTGATATTCATTTAGGAGGTTTTAGACACTATGGTAATGAAACATGAAACCTGTTAAGATGAAAAGAAGTATTTTTATTCTTAACATGAAAATCATTTTACACTCAGATTGATTCAGTAATGGCTTTGAAAATTTGCAGACAAATCTTCAACAGAAATACTTCATTAAAAATTTAGATTTTTTGTGCACAATAGACTTTGAAATGTTTACTTAAAAAAGAGCTTGTGATATTCTGTGAAGGTACATTTAGTAAATTCAGAATTATAGTTAACATTACTATGTATTACTTCATAGATATGTGGTTGGTCCAACGGACCAAAGTCATGTACACAGTGTTAAAACAAGAAATTACAAAACTTCTGATATTCTAGTTTTAAGTTTTATCTAATCGAACATACCTTAATTTCCAGCAATTTATTTTAGAAAGCCCAAAAATCTACAAATTTTTATTACTGATTCTTGTTTCTTTAGAAGTGATTACATTTAGAATCCATTTTTCCTGCTTTCAAATAGTATGATGATTATTCATACCTGTTTTTATATAATTACAAAAAAGCATCAGAAAGTATGTGTTGTTATAGTGTCACCTCAGCACTTGCTCAGATGTTATAATATACTTTAAGATTGAAAAATTAATAAAATTTTATTATACAATTATTTAATAAGTTAATAAGACTAAAAATGTCCAGAGGAAATTATATACAAAAAGTAGCATACTTACTTACAAATAACACTAATAATATGATGTATAATATACAGAAGGATTAAACACACATGGTTAGTTTGCCCTAAAAATGCTTTAACTTATCTTTGTAATTATTCTAAATGACCAATTCCTTCCACTCAAAATTATAATCATTTTAACCACCAAAACTACTTAAAAAATTTACCATAAGAGTGAGGATAAGTGATTACGTATTTTCAGATCAGTACCTGTGTCATTTTCTCTACAGGTGTGGGGATACCATCTATGACAAGTGGGGGTAATTCATGAAGAGTAGGGTCATCTGGATTTTGGGGAGGAGCATGGTGTGCCAGAGCAACATCTAACTCCTGCATCACAACCTGCCGACAGTTTCTGACCTGGTATTAATAACAAACAGAATAATTCATAAGATCACTAATTGCAAATACTCATGTAATAACACAAACTAGTGTTCAGTATGAGACTTTCACAATGGTCCACTAAATTCAATGAACTCAATACCTGCTCTCTAAAAAATTAAAATGCTAATTAGGCCAATTCTGAGCCCATTATAAAAATGTAAAATGTGAGAAACTTCACAAATATAATGAAATTTACATATTTTTTATGTTTCATATAACGTGGAAAGCATTTTCAAAACTAAAGAAAAGAGGATTTGTTTGAAAACCCTTTTTCACCAGATTACTAATGTAATTTTTTTTTCCTGTACAGGTACTTTACAAACTATATCATTACTGTGATGAGAGATTGGTTATCATAAAAATATTTTTTCACAAAATTATCTAGTACGTTCTCATAACAATTTAGCTCCACTCTTTAAAAACGTCTACAAAAATACAATGTCATATTCCAACTTGAGCTCTGTATTTATGTAGTTAATTTAACAGTACTGACATGAGAAATAACTGTCAAAAAACAAAAACTATATTTATAGCAGATTTTTTGAAAATTTCAATAAAAATCAGTGTAAATATAATTAGACTTTTTTTTTATACATTTACAGTCATCTTTAATTGTCTAAAACATTTTATGAAGACACTTTAAAAACTTCTACCCTAAATTTTAAGAAGGATTCTACAGCATAAAAAATACTCAAATTTTGATGAAAAATGTACAAACACACTACTTTTACCTTTTAGGCTATAAAAAAACCTATTCTTTTGGAATGAAAATTATCAAGCTATTTCTTCATTACACTACTAATGGCAATAAGAATGGTTCTTCATGAAAAACTTATTATTTTAATTAATTATTATAAATTTCATATGGTGGATTTAATACTAACTAAACAAACTATACTAATAGCATAAAAATCATTTCTAAAAGTTGAAAATTAGATGATTTAATGAATGACAAGTACTTAACCTAAATTCAGATCTGAAGATTTTCCAATTTTTGAGTGTTTTAAAATTAGACAATTAGTAAGCAACAGCAATTTTAAAGATTCCATTTTCTAGGTATAGAAGTTTATTAAATTAAATGTAACCTACAATTTCTGACAACTACATGAAGGAAGGTTTTATGTTAACGTAACATACATGACTGACAACAGAATAGCAGTTTAATAGCTGGTTCTTAATTCATTTGAAAGTTAGTTGAAAACAGTACATGAGAATCATACGATATTCCCATTGCTAAAATAACTAATATACTTATTAAAAAAAGAAATATACTTATTCATGGTTTTAAAATTAAACAAGGATGATTTAAGTTATGTTCCTTTAAGCAAAGCCTATTGTTAAATTAAAGGAATGAAGTTGTAAAAAAAAAATATTGAAACAGTTATTCTGTGATGAAACAGAGAAGCAATACTGATTCAAAAAATACCAACTAGTTACTATTCATTACAACTGAAGCTCTGGAATGGAGAAAATGTAAGAGAAAACACAACACGTTTACTAATTGGTCTATGCTCTTATAAAAACAAATAGAACGAGTAAACTTTTTGTACTTACCACATTCTCTAGTGGATGTGCACCAAACACTTTGAAATTATTATGAGGTTTTCCTGGAGTTACAATCAGTACAACTGCTTGTTGCCCTACTCGAGTTGTGTACTCATCCACTGTGGCTTTCAGCTTTCTAGGATATTAACAATTTAAAAAAATTTTCAATACAAAAAAAATAAGAAAGAATTACAATTAGAAAAGTCATGAGGATGTAAAATTGTATTAATAAATGTAAGTAATATTACCCAAAATCTAATTCACATCTTTCTATTCATTGTAACACACTATTTGAAAATCCACAACATGAGCTTTACACTCATAACATGAAATAAAACTGTAAAAGATGGATTCAGAACTTTGAAATATTCCTTTCAAACTAGTTTTTGTTGTTGAAAGCTGCAGCAAAGAAATTTTAAAAATGACACAAATAAATACTTTAAAATGAGAATTGTCTCTATTTCTCCTTACTTTAAGAGCTTAATACAGTGTTCAACAGAGTTTACTTTCTTTTAAACATTTGTTATCATGTGCTATTCTTTAATTTTCGAGTATGTCAATTACATACTTTCCTGAAACACTGATACAAATAAAAAACTGAAAATAAAAGAAAAATTTGGAATGGGGGAGATAATATTTAATATTATCTTGTATCTGCTAATCACTGTCACAATAAAGGGTTAGGTAATTAGTGGTATTTGCTAGTTGATTAAACTTCATTAATTCTTTCAGCACAGGCTTGGTCCGTGGGACCAACTTCATAAACATTTTGTGATTGTTATAGTTTTCATGCTATAACTTTTAAATTAGTAAGCAAATGTTAACAACATATTTTGCATTACCAGTAAACATTACAATGCTTTCATACTCAAAATATCAATTTTTTTTTATTAAGTCTTACAGTTTGTAAAGCAATGTTTTGCTCATGCCTTCTTTTTCTTTTCACATGTTGCCTATCTAACATGCAAAATAATTTTCATTTTAAGATTTGAAATACTTTTATGCATCAGAAAAATTTGAAATTTCACATGTGAAATCTTTATAATGCTCAGATAGTTATCAAAAGTTTCTTAAGAAAAAACTGTTATTTTCAGTTATGAATCTCTGTATGGGTTTGGTAGATTTGACAGATCTCATAACCACCATACAAAATTAGGAAATAAATATAAATTATGCCTCTTTCATTCATAACATAAAAACATAAATGTTTAGATTAAATAGCTTAAATCTCATAACATTATACATTTATGTATATTTATTATTTTTATTATACTAACCTTTCAGCAGTGCCTGGCTAACAATACAAAAGTTACAACAACACGTGCACTCATGTTACCATATTCAATAATAAAAAACTGACTTTTGGTCTTTACAAAGTAACTTGTCTTGGCTGTGTTTTAGTGTTTTGTAAAATACAGTCACATTTCAATTATTATACATTATATATGTATATAGATTACTGCTATTTTGAAATAAGTTCTTAAAGATATTTTTCTTAAAACATAGGACAGTAAATAAAGAAGTAAAGCAAACAATTATCTCTTCTAGTTACAACCTTTGTACTTGGTTGCTGCTTGACATAGGTTGCTAAGCCTTTAAAAATTTTGCATGTGGAGGATATGAAACAAATTAATTTTTTTAGGTTTTATATATACATTTGAATAACTAAAAAATCATAAATTACTTCATCAATACCATATAATTCCACTATAATTTATCAAGCTTGGTAACTAAGATGTATTTTAGTCTAAAAAAAACGAAATTTCGAGCAGACTAAAGACACACCCTACCTCCTTGAAATATTGGTACAAAAGAAAGAAATGGTGTCCAAGCTAGTTAAAATGGCTGAGAAAGACACTAGGGGTACATTCTAAGCTTCCAATTGGTTATTAATGTCATATATAGAAGTAAGTGTATATAAGGGAGCATTTCCAAAAATGGAAAGAGGTGGGAAGAGTGCCACTGTGTTTGATTTACTACATGAACAATATCTTAGCAAATAAAAAAGATAAGACATTCTTATTTCATATTCTAGCTTGTCAATATTGGTAATTTGAGTTTCTAAATCGTAAGAAACTATAGACTTAGTATTTTGACTTCACAAACATCTAATTTGAACCAGTGCTGCATACATCATACCACATGACACACAAAAATCAATGTTTATCTGTGTGTTTTAATATTTACTTTTAAATTAAGAAATTGAGTAATATATAGTAATAAAAATTTGAATTATAATCTACAGTTTGATACCAAACTTATGACATAAATTCATGAAATAGTAGTTCAATAAAATTTTGATCTCATTTGTTGACTCGCATTGACATGGCCTTTCACCTGTGACCCGTCTGGAAAGGGTTCACTAACTTTTCTTTTACTTCAAGTTTGTTTGTTTTTTGGGGGGGAGACTTGTCATTAAGAAGTTTTGGGTTCGTTTCCCATCCAGCGCAACCAGACTTGTTTGCCTTTATTTGTTATGGCAAATATACAAAGATTATCTGCTACCATCACTAATTTTAAACTGCTGACTAGAGCAAATGTAACAGGCTGGTAGCACCAACCACCAACCTTTTTCTCTTGCTATGTACCATGGTTTGAGGAACACTGCACTAAAAAGTAGCAAAAACCATTAATCACCCAGCTCTAGTTCACATTATTATGTTGAATCATAACCAGATGTTAAAAAAAAATTGATTAAAAAAAAAGGCTTAAGCAAATACATACGGATGTAATGAAGATTTAGTGGTCAAAATGAAATGAAGAAGTGTTGATAAGAAAAAAGAAGTTTTAAAGAATGTGATAAAAGAAACTGATATATCATTAAATTAATCTCATTAACTCTTTCAGCACAGGCTCAGTCTTAGGGACTGACCTAGTAATCATTTTGTACTTGTTATAGTTTTCATGCTGTAACTTTTAAATTAGTAAGCAAATGTTAACAAAATTTGGCACATTACAATGCTTTCACATGCAAAATATAAATTTTTTATATTAAATCTTACGGTTTGTAAAGTTTTTTTTTCTCATGCCTTTTTTTTCTTTTCATACGTTGCCTATCTAACATGCAAAATAATTTTCTTTATAAGATTAAAAATACTTTTATGCATCAAAAAATTTTGAAATTTCATATGCAAATTCTTTATAATGATAGTTGTCAAACGTTTCTTAAAAAAACTTTATATTTTATCTGTTATTTTCAGTAATGAATCTCTGTATGGGTTCATTAGAACTGACTGGTCTCGTAACCACCATAAAAATTAGGAAATAAATATAAATTACGCCTCTTTCATTCTAGAATGAACATAAATTATAACACAAAAACATAAATGTTTAGTCTCAATAGCTTAAATCTCATAACATTATAGATTTATATATATTTATTATTTTTATTATATTGACCTTTCTGGCTAAAAATACAGAAGTTACAATGACGCAGCTCATGTTACCGCATCAAATAACATACAACTGAATTCTGGTCTGTACAAAGTAACTTGTCTTGGCTGTGTTTTAGTAGACTAGTGTTTTGTAAAATACAGTAAC